CCTTCTACGTCGTACTTGGCCCCGTTTTATGTACGGGGCCCATATGATTAAACCAATCACATCCAATCACAGCCCCCGAACATATACACAAAACAATGTTAATGCGTGATGAGCACCATGCCACTTCCGCCTCACCAGCGTGGCGGTGCGTCACTTCCGGGGCGGGCGCACGTCCGAGCCACGCCCCTCCCGTCTGACAGCGGGAGACCTTCCGGTAGGACGGCCGTTCTGGACGGCACCAGCCGCGGCGGGACCGGTACCCGCTCTTTAAGGGTCGGGCCTTGATCTCTGGGCACCTAATGCGGTTGTCTTCCAGGAGGCGGCGCTATCGGAGTCCGCCTACCCTCAGTCTCTCGCTCACGGTCGCTCTCAGGAGCAAGTTTAAACGGCCAGAAGCTCCCGCCCACACATGCTCCTCTGGGACCCAGCCAGGTAGACTCTAGAGAACAAGCATGTCAAACTCGCGGCCGCCCAGCCAATATAATGGTATGTAAGAAATGATTTAATAAAAATTTCATAACTTAATTTTTGCAATATCCTGTTATACATACTCTATATATACAAAAGCCTAAGCGACTGTCCTCCGACTGGCCAGAACCAGAGAGGAGGGAGCCCGATTCCAGGGTGCCTCACCTGAGAACTGCCCTCTCACAATCCAGGACCCCCTTGGGGGATGTCAGAGAGCCGGTTTCGGCCAGTTCCCACAGGCCAGGCCAAGGGACCCCACCGGTGCACGTGCACCAGGCCTCTAGTTATTAATAATGAACTACAACGTTCGCTAATGACTGATTACTATAATTGTGTTGCATTCATTTCCCTTACGTGCCTTACGCACAGGCGCACCATTTCTCTCCACTAATACTAGCAGCAAATATTTTAGCAGCCGATTGCCGCGGCATTAGTCTTGTACTGACTTGTTTGGTGTGCGTAACAGGAAATATTTTGCTTTCAGAGAACAAGAAAAATAGGTTTATTTGCATTACGCTTATTAATTTGTGCAGCTATTCAGTAAGTTAATGTTCAAGAAAAATAATTTTTTTTAAATATTCTTATTTTATGTTAATAATTACTCATTTATTTCAGCCCTTTGTATTCAGCATGTCTCTATCGAAATAAACCTACGTTTCTATGAAAATTGAAGCTTTTGTTTTTTTTGCGACCCACATAAACTTAAACCTTATTTGGCCCATGTTAGCCTTTGAGTTTGACATGCTTGCTCTAGAACCTCACCTCTGACCACTGCCTCTACACATATACTCTAGGTTTGATCACTAGTACAGAATTCCTTCAGTGCTCAGCTATCAACTCATCAGGAAGCCTAGTATATCCTGCTTCAGGCCAGGTTGTGTCTCGTCTGAGTTCCCACAACCCTCTGAGATTTCCTAGTTGTACTATATACTATCTTCTATTTTGTTCTTCTTCCTCCTTGTTAGTCTCAGAAAGTGGAAACCCTGTTTTATCCCCAATGCTTAGTTTAGTGCCTGGGATAGAGAAGACATGAGCAAATATACTTATTGAATGAAGTCAGATCTCCATCACACCCATGCCCTCATGTGACTATAGGCAGCCACCAACACCAAGCACAGACAGACACCCACTTCACACAGGTTAACCCCCACCCTGTCCCAGGCCCAGTATACTCACACTCAGTGAGGTCACTGAGGGACTTTTATTTGTACTTATTTTGCTATAAAGTGTTGCTGAGGTAGAGCCAACTGTCCAAAGCTGGCAAGGAACACAGGGACCCAGGGAAAGGAGAGCCAGGGTCCTAGGATGTGGTGCAGGGCCTCTCAGTTATCCATATAAACAATTAATAAATTGGGCAATAAATATACAGGGTGCACAAGGTTGGAGGGACAGGCAGAGAAGGTTCCAAAGGGTGAGAGGCTACATGTCCCTGGGGAATGAAGGGGTACAGAGTTGGGCATGGACCCAGAGCCTCGTTACCCCGGTCCTCCCAGATCCATTTAGGACATATGGAGCAGAGAGGGTTTCAGTCGAAAGGCATCCAGAAAAGAGAAGATGCCCCGCTTTCGAGGGGCAGCCCCTGCACCTCCAACCCCTCCTTTGAGTAGGGGGAGAGGCAGGGGACCTCCTGGGAGTCCACAGAGCTGGTCCGCTTGAGTCGCAGGCGGGCACGGGCCTGGGCACCCCAGGCCCTTGTCTCGGAATGCAGAAGGCACA